CCGAGAACAGCTGCTGTATAGACGTTGCACTACTAAAGTGATTTTAAAATGAGTTCAAATTGCGTCAAAGTGGGTCAAACGGGGACGCAACGAGAACTCTTGTATTTTTATAATCGAGGCGTTGGAAACCCCTTCTGCCGAGGTAATCAAAGAAATAGAATATGACATGACTTTGGAAAAAGGTCCGTGGGTAGGTAGGTGGGAGTATGGGAGTTTATGGGACGAGCTCGGAGCGAAACTAGTGGTGCATGCCTGATAACTGTACGATAACCGAAATCCCCTACCATTGAGCTCTTCCAGTAGTATGTCGTGATCCTTGAAGCCGAATAACTATTGGTCATAAGCCGAATAAGTGAAAAGGACGAGGGCCCAACCATACACCGCTTGAGGCAGAGGAGAATAGAGCACTTTGTTATTGTGCGTGACCATTCGCTATCAGGACCATTACATGTCTGCGATTGTTCGTTTGGGAGGATTCTTCATTAGTGGAGAAGACTTAGTTTTTTCCGAGCCGTCCTCTGATGTGCCTGACACTTTTTTTCTCGAAGTGGGATCGATATCTTGAGTTTCTCTGATATCTGGGATATAAGGAATATTTAGTGATCTGTGCACGTAAATATTACTTTTAACGCTGGGGTCGTTTAGCGTTATATTGGTTCCACACCTTTTTTTACCCTTTGACGACAATGCGGATTTGCACGTAGCGTGCTCGTGGGACCACGCCTCTTTTTGGCGCCCAACTCTCGCACAAAATGGGGCAAAATTGTCCCTAAAAGCAGTTTTTCTATCAAAATTTTGACTATGACAATAAACAAAATATGACTGCAGTCTTAAGCTTTATGATCATGTATTGTTGGAATTAGAAGTGGAAGTTTGGAAAGAAATCTCGGATTTCAAAGGGATGGTGTTTGAAAACTCTAGAAGTTCAAATGTACAGTAGAATTTTTGATATAGTTCAAACTCCTCCTTGTGTCTTAAGACTGTGAAAAGACGTAGAGGTCCTGATCTGTAATTCACCTTAAGCTTAATAATGTAAAACACTAGTTAATACATCGCCGAGCGAAGTGCCATATCCTAAAATTTCATATAAATTAGCTAGTAACAAACATTTCTGCAAAATATGCTAAACATAGGCGTAACGGAGCTTGCTTATAATTACTGATATGTTGAAAATGTTTTAAATGGGTAAAGAAGAAAATTTTAGGGTGGCACCCACCATTGGGTGCCATTGTCCCACGCGACGGTCATAGTGGCACCCACCGGTGGGTGCCATTGTCGCCAAAGGGTTAGTTATTGGTAGAACAATTTCAAGAGTGCCGGTGGCGGTTCTGGTCGTGGGTATGACATTCATTTCAAGACTCACTCCTTTTTTCTTCGAAAGCCGTTCTTGATTTTGGTGTTATATACAAGTACCCCTCCCTATACACAGTGTACAGTGTGCATCAAAAGGACACCCCATACTTTTTTCCTTCTATGAGAAACTTTTGACTTTTGCACGTGAGACCGTTCCATTCGATGTCTCGTTAGCGGAAACCTTGAAAATACTCATTTTTCAGCAACTTTGATTTTATTTTTTATCCGATGTTTTCCCTCTATCGG